TTCTGCTGGCTGTAGAGTCTCTTGATCTCATGATGGAATCATTCCATCCTCGCCTCTGACATCAGCTTTTCTCTTCAAAGAACACTGGTCACTGGGACTAGGCTTCATCTAGCAATCCAGGATAATCTCATGAAGACAGCTTTAATTTAATTACATATGCAAGTACTCTTTTCAAATAAGAGTCTACTTGTGCATTCTTGGACATATCTTCTTAAGAGGTCACCATTTAATCCTCTATATGTGGCATGATTGATTGGCCCCTTGGCCTTCCCCTAAGTTCTAGGGGACCCTGCTGATAGTGGCTACAATGGGACCCAGTTGACAGTGAAAGCAAGAGGAGAGAAGGTTTCAAAAAGATGTAGGAAGAGTCCACGTGACCCTGCTGACTACCACTCATCCTAGAATTTGTGACGTCACAAGTTAGTGAGGACCATGCTGGACATTCACGTTTCTCTTTTTCCTAGGGATGAAGATGGGTTGGTAAATTAGGTTTGGCTCTGCTGTAGGGATAACTAAGTCTCCAAATCCCAAGGTTTATAATGCTGAGAAGGCTTTCTTGCCTGAGGCCCTACAGGCTGACTACAGCCGGCCTCTAGGTCACCTTCACTGTATGGCCTGGCTGATGGAGAGATGGATCTGAGATAGGGCTGACCTTGAGGCAGGAAGGAGGGCTCTGGCTTAGGTTTCTATTGCTGGGAAAACACCATGACTAAAAGCAACCTAAGGAGGAAAGGGTTTATTTCACTTTACAATTTATAATCAATCACTGAAAGAAGTCAGGACAGGAACCTGGAGGTGGGAGCTGATGCAGAGGCCATGGAGGAGTGCTGCTTACTGGCTTGTTCTTCATGGCTTGCTCTGTTTGTTCCTTTACATACCTCAGGACCACTGCCCAGAGGTGGTACCACCCACAGTGGGATGAGCTTTTCCACGTCAATCATCAACCAAGAAAATGTCCCATAGGCCAATCTGATGGAGGCATTTTTTTTTTTTTTAATTGAGGCTCCTCTTCTCAGCTGATTCTACCTTGTGTCAAGTTGTCAAAACAAGCATGTACTCTCAATGTGGCCTTCACAGGTGCTGCGGGAAGATGGGCTGCTGAGATGCCATCTGGCTTCCCTCGATGCTTATTCTCCCAAGTGTGTTAGGCAACGTCCTAGTCCTGTGTTTTCTGCATGTTTTGACCGTACCCCTGGCTTTCTCCTTGGTCACTCTATTCCCATGGGCTGCATTCCCCTTCTCCTGGGAAGGAAAACAACTGAGTTATAGTTCCATGCTGCCTATCTGCAGAACTGCTTTGGGGCGGGGGTTGGGGGGATGCTGCTTCCTAAACAAAAGCTCAAATGGGTGCCTAAATCAATCATTTCACAGCATCCGTCATCGACTTACAGAGGCTTTTAGACATAGTCAAGGCCTTTCCTCAGATGCTTGAAGCCAATTAAGCCTAAAGGACCCTGGAGAGATGCAAGTTCAGTTTCTTTTCTTTTTTTCTCTACATTGTTAAGAAAAATGACATGGGTTGTGTGTCTGGTGCATGTGTACCTTCTGGAGCTAGGAACCCACCGCTTATGTCAGAGTCCCAAAGGCTTTACAAACCCCAGAAAATTAAGGACCAGGATGTCTAACCTAATCTCTTCATTTAACTGTTGACCCCAGAACTGAAGTATGGTTCCTTGTGCCAAACGGACTGATCTTATTTAGTACGACTCCATCCAAAGCTTTGTCCCTGAATCTTGCTCTCAGTAAGCTAATTTCTCTACCGTTACAATCTACTTTGGGAGAGAGGAGGATGCTTGGGCAAGTTACATTGCCTTTTAAAGCCACAGGGGTATCGTTTGGTGCATTCCTGCCCCAGCAATTATTACCTTCTGAGAGCCTGCCGAGCTGCCTCCTGCTTTCCCTTTGGTCTCCGTGGGGACTCGTTATGTTTCCAGCAGGCAAGTATGAAATTGTATAGTGCTGGCTTACCAGAAGGGTTTGCTACGGGAATTTCACAGACAGAACTGCTTCTCTTAAAGGAATTTACATCCCATGTAGCAGAATAGGGAATGGTTGTGGCAGATGATGGTAATAGGAACTGTATTAATATTACATGTCTGCTAGGCAGAGAACCAATGGGTCCTAATAGCATAGATCTATATCAGCACCCCCACCACACGAAGTCTGGTTGGGGGGCAGTGGTATTTCCTCTTTACAGATTAAGAAAACACAGGCTCAGTGTTTTCTTATTCTCCAGAGCAGGAATCCTTTATTATTATTATTATTATTTCACGCACACTGGTGTTTTGCCTGCACATATATCTGCGTGAGGGTGTGAGTTACAGACAGTTGTGAGCTGCCATGTGGATGCTGGGAGTTGAACCCTGGTTCTCTGGAACTGCAGCCAGTGCTCCTACCCCTGAGTCATCTCTCCGGCCCCTAGAACAGGAATTCTTAACAAGATCCCTGAGGTTTCAGGTGACCGGGGATTCCTGAAGAGATCTGCAAAGGTCATTGATTTGTCCTTGGGTTGCAGGGTGGGTGTGGTTTTCCTCTGTAGAGTTCTGTGATTGTCAATGATTCGGAGCCACCCTAGTGACCCCCAATCTTGTAATTAGTAATACTAATTAGTAAGTATTATGCTTGTCTATGAATCCCTCTCCCCACGGCATCTGTGTGGAAAGCTTGCTATCCAGCCTGGTGGGCTACACTTGAAAATTTATTGAATCCTGAGGCCTTTGACTAACTCGTGGATTAATCCACACTTGATGGAGTCATTCTACTATGGCATTTTGGGAGGGACAGCCTCGTTGGAGGAAGCACATGCCCTGGAAAGAGATACGGTTGTCCTAACCCTTCCAGTTTCTCTTTACTCCCTTATGTTCATGTTTTACGTGAGTAGCCTTTCCTTCCCGGTGCCCTTCATCCATGATGCTTTTGCCTTGGCATAAACTTAAAGCAATGCAGTCTGCTGACCATGGAATCCCTGAAATCAAAACAACATAACCAAAATAAGACAAAAACTTTCCTCCCTATAAGTTGCTCCTGTCAGGCATCTTGTCATAGTGTTGAAACAGCTAACACGGCCTACATTCTGAAGTGTTTTCTCTGACTGCCAACCTTTTTAATAGTAGGCAAAATCAGATGCAAGAACAAGTTTTGGAAGAAACCAGTTCACGTGTTTCCTTACCTATCTCTGTTCTGCAAAGTTGAAAGTCTTGCCTCATCCCAAATACTCCTCCCCACCCCCACACCCGTGTACAGCAGAGTCCCTGTAACGCAGAGTGGGAAGTAACCTCTAAAGTCTTCCTGCTACACAGACAGAGAAACTAAGGCCCAGAGAGTGGCTCGTGTCCAGATGCTAAGCCAGTGACGAGTCCTGCCCGGGGCTTGTTCCTTACTAAGGACTTAACTCCAACCATGATTGAAACCTCTTGCCAATATTTCTCAACAAATGACGGTACAATGTGACTCATTTTTGACATTATGCAAATGAAGGAAACAAGACTGAGTGCCCTTCTGTCCAGAGAGCAGGAAATGAAGGCTGTCTGGGGCCGCATGTTCCCAGGGACATACAGTGTCACAAATGGGGTCTGGAAGAACCAGGCCTTTGTTCACGGCCGACTTCACTGAGTTCCTCTTCTCAGCCGTGACTAGCAGGATTGGCACCCAACTCATTCTTCCAGCATCAGCCAGAGGACACTTAGATTGTCCTCTGCCACCAGAGACTGCCTCCCCCCTCAACTCTGCCCCCACTGAAGGCAGCATTAGCGCTCTCTGGAATAGATGTTTCAAGCCAATTGGTGCCTCCCTCCCATAGGAAGCAGAGACATTTGCCACAACGGAGGTTATATTTTTGCTCAGTGAAGTGCTGAGTCGAGGCTGTTTGAGTTTATTGGCGTTTATATTTTAGCTCCTCCACCCCCACCCCCACAGGATAACAGGAGTTGCTGTGAGGGAGAGTCCTGTGCTCACCTCAAGCAGGGATCAGTTATGGAAACTCTTCCAGCTCTGGCTTCTTTCAATTAGGCAAAGCAGTGTTTTTCATCAGAGTTAACTATGGTGAGACAGTCCAGAAATGGAAGAGTTTATAAGGACGATAGTGCTTTCCAGAGACTAGGTGAGTGAGAGTGGGGGTGGACATGGGGGTGTAGTGGGGGTGGGGGAAGGGAGCTTTTAGAGAGCACCAGACACATGAAGAAACTCTGGTCCAGGGAGAAGCAAAGGCTGGGAGGTCACAGAGCCAGGTGGCTGCAGCTGGACCAGAAAGACTGAAAATTGGGCATTAGTGCTGAGCTGGCACATGCTGTGCCCAACACCTGCCTTTCTAGACGTCTTCATACTCCTGAAACAGACCACAAGTTTGTTTTCAAGAGGTACTATTGGTTAATGTCGAGACCCACCAAGAAAAGAAAAATGTCGAAGACTGGGGGCTGCAGGAGAGGGCTTAGTCCTTAAGAGCTCATAATGCTCTTGCAAAGGGCCTGAGTTCGGTTCCCAGCATCCATAGAGGCAGCTCATAACCATCTACACTCCTGCTCCAGGACAGCCGATGCCTTAGCCTGTGACACCTGCATTCACGTGCACACGTATACACGCAGACCGGCATGCATGTGCATAATTTAAAATAAAAAATAAAGTTAACATTTTTAAGGACTGAAGGATAAAAGATGTTGACTAGCTTGTCAGGTGCCTTTGAACACATTCTCCCGGGGCGGGGGATAGCTTGTCAGGTGCCTTTGAACACATTCTCCCGGGGCGGGGGATGAGTTGGGAAGACCCCCTTCCTTCCCTGTCCATCAGAATCTTTACTGTTCCTCCACCTGAGTCAACTGGACACAGGCCTGCCTGGCACCCTGCGCTTCTCCTGTGGCCTGACTGTAACAGGCTATCCAAGCAGAAGGGGCTACTTCTCTGGATCACCTGCCATCAGAGACTTTCAAGCCTTTCTTCACCCCTCCCTTCCCGGCTCCAGCCCGGGTGTTGTGCAAGAGCCAGAGGAATTTGTGATAATGGAGCCACATGCCCAGGCTCAACCCAGGCCCAAGGAACTTGACCTGAAGCAGGAGGGTAAGCAAGAACACTCCTAGCTCCCAGGCCAAAAGGGTGGCCGGCAGCCACAAGGAAACTCCTAGTCCTTCTGAATGCTGCCAAGGAGGAGGAGGCTTACATCCTTATTTATAGCATTGCGATCGCAGGGGTTGGGATGATGGGGGTTGGGGGAGTTACTCAGATCCCTCTTGAGCTTGGCGCATGATTCATATCCCCTCGGGAGCTGCGGGCCGAGGCAGGGCGTGCGCTCAGGCAGCCTCCGGCCAGCCGCACACTCCGGCCCGCTCGTTTATTTATGGTGCTTTATCAGGGGCTGTGCACCGCGGCGATAAAGTTTATGAAAAGAGGCGGCGTCTCCGGCGGCGGGCTGGGCCCGGGCGCTCCTTTCCCACACTGATTAGGATCAGCCGGGACTTTAGAAGCGGCAGTTAAGGATCAGGGTGCCGGGAGCTGGCTCGCCTTCCTGCCGCGCCCAGCCTGGCCGGCTGCTGGCCCGCGTGGGTGGGAGGTCCGCGCTGTGACCCGGCACGGGGCGGGCGCAGGGCAGCCTGGAAAATCCAGCGCCCAGATCCCAGCTGAAGCCATGGCAAGGGGCTCAGGACCCGTTTGTCTTCTGAATGTGGCAACTCCGATCCCGTGTTTTTTTTTTTTTTTTTTTTTTTTACTTTTCCACCTCCCGATTCTTTTCGTGTGCGTTTACTCTCCCGGTGCATTTGGGCCCATTCCCTTCCGAAGTCTCTGCTGTGAGAATACCTTTAATCGCTTGCAGAGATAAATTCAGGATTACTAGCTCCGGTCTTGGCCTCTCAGAGTCGCAAAGGTGGATTACAGAGTAACCGCAGCCTAGGGTTATCAGGCTCCAAAGCAGGCACCGAGGCTGGCGCTTGCTTCAGTCTTACTGACTTCCTTAATCTGTGGTGACCTCAGGAAGGTGACTCTCCTAGCCAGAACATTTCACTGAGTGATATGAAATGACTCAGAAAGGCAGTGGCTGAACTTCAGTTGGACCTTAGAGGCAGGAAGTGAGGCTCGGTGGTAGAGTCCTGGCTCAGGGTTTGATTCTCCAGTACTCCCCACAAAAAAATAACCTGAGTAAATAACCTGAATAAGTAGACTCAGAGCCCACGTCTGGATTCCCCTACCTTGCTGATCAGGACGATTATCCTGTCTGAGAAGGTCACAGGTGTTAGGGTGTTGAAAACGGGTGTGTGTGTGTGGGGGGGGATGGGGGTCATGTATTCATTGTCAGCCTGACTGGTTTAGAATCACCTAGGAGATTGGCTGGGGCTTTCGAGGATGCTTCCAGGGAGGCTTAACTAAAAGAGGAAAGACCCATCCTGAATATGAGCAGCACCCTCCTATGGGTTGGGGGCCTGGACTGAGCATGAAAAAGAAGCAAGTTAAACACTAGCATCCATCTTTGTTTTCTTAACTGAGATGCAAGGTGATCCGTGCGCCCCCATTGCCCTGCCTTCTGTGTTCTGATGGCATTCCTTCAAAGCAGGGCCAAAGTGAACCCTGCTTCCTTAAGCTGCGTTTGCTAGGTATTGCATCATAGCAAAGAGAAATATAACTGACAGAACTAGATGTTCGCTGGACATGGTGGTGGGAAGGTAGGCGTTTCAGACAGAACAAGCCCTGCGTAAAACCGACTCTCAGGGGCAAGCTGCTTTCACTTGCTTCTCTAAGGAGTGGGAGGGCAGAAGGCCAGCGACTCTGACTTCTGTGACCGTGGGGTTGCCTTCATTGACTGCTTCCTCAATCTGGAACGTTCTGCTTGCAGCTACTGAAATCCCACCACCTCAGATGTCTAACAGTCATCTGATCTCTCCTTCTGATCCCTCCCAGACTCAGTCTTTATCTCTCTAAAATCAATCCTTCCTTTTGCCTCCCTCATGCCAAACCTGCCTCTCTGCCTCGGGGCCCTTTGGAGTTGGGCTCCACATGGCTATATTACTAAACTGCTCTGGTAAAGTCCTCCCCTTCATACTTGCTTTGACCCAGGCCCAGCTTGCTATTGTACACACAAGAGGTGTTTGCTAACTGTGGTTGGTGAATACATAGATAGCTATGTGCATTGTGGGGGAACATCTCATCTCACAGGTGTCATATTTATTCCTTCATGGATTTCAAGACCAGGCAGGCTAAAAATGGTCGTCTGTGTCCCCACCAGGGAAGGCCTAGACCACTCTGCCAAGAGAACACAGACTAGAACAGGCCTAGCAACCAGGTTGGCTGAGCCTAAGTAACCCAAGCTGCTAGCCCTTAAAATCCCTCCAGACAAGAAACAGGATTAGTCCCAGGGCCTGGACCTAGAGACGAGTCAACAAACGGAAGTCATGTTGCCCTAGTTATGGGGGAGAACATTGTGAGGGCTGAGAGCCAGGCCAGCCATTGTGCAATCCATTTTGAGTGCAGTGAACCATTCCAGGGAGCCAGGGCATGCCGGACATTTGCTCCTACGGGTACGGCATCAGCAAAAGGCACTTTCTAGGCCCATTGTTTAGGGGGTTAGGGTTGTATATTGTTCTTTTTTTGATTTTTTTAAACTAGATTTTTAGAAGATTAATTGAAAGAGTAATATATAAATATACATTCAAAAGTAGAATTAGGGGCTGGAGAGATGGCTCAGCAGTTAAGAGCACTGGCTGCTCTTCCAGAGGACAGGAGATTCATTCTCAGCACCCACATGGGGGCTCGTAATTGTAACTCCAGTTTCAGGGCATCTTGATGCCTTCTTTTGACTTCTATGAATATCAGGCATGAACAAGGTGCACAGACATGCATACAGACAAAAGATTCATAAAATAAAAGGGGGAGTCAGTTTTGATTTAATAGGAGTCAAATTCAAAATAAAATAATCTGGCACTTGGGAGGCAGAGGCGGACCTCGTGATCACTATGAGTTCAAGGGCAGCTTGGTTGGTCTATGTAGCAAGTTCTGAGTCAGTCAGGACTACAGAGTGAGACCCTGTCTCAAACAATGAGCCAAGACAACCGTTATACAAAGACAATTTGTTTGGTTATACAAAGACAATTAATTCTGCGCTCAGTCATATACTGCTTAAGTAATCACCCCCCTCCAAAGTACAAGTTCTCATCACTGAGAGCTTCTTCAGAGCTTGGCATGAAGCTTAGTTGTTATGCAAGCCTAGGCTATGTGAGACACACACACCTCCCTCTCTCCCTCTTTCTCTCTCTCTCCTTTCTTTTTTAAAAGATTCGATGTTTTGTACTTTTATGATGATCCTAAAAGTTCTTATGAAGTTGATTCACCTGTAGGCAGTGTTTCCATGACAATATGGAGTTGAGGATTACAGGTCACTGGTTTTGAGAATCGTAGACCTAGTCTTTCTTGTTCTGAATGATGTTAGGTACGAAGACAGCGTGGATTACTATGGTTTAGACATCATCCTTACTATCTAGACAAGGCAGGTGTGAATCAAGGACAGTTGAAGAAAGATCCAAGGAGGAGTCACAGCTGGCCACAGCTTGGATAGATACTGTTAAGCCATTTCAATAAGTGCCAGTAGACTGTCAGGATGGCTCACAGGGTGATAACTGGTGGAGACACAGCAATTATTTTGTGGATAGATGCTCACTGAAGTATTTATGAATGTTCTGTGGTTGCTCTGCTATCTTACATTTTGGGGAGGAGGAGTCATTGAGATGCGCAGGAGAACCAGAGCATCCTCATGCAAGATCAAGTAGAGGTGGCTCTGCCCAGCCTCTGTGCAACCAACATCATCCAGTCTAGAGAAGGACAGGCTACAAAGAGATTTAATGTTGAGGCCCATATCAAAGTAAGCTCACTTTTCTTAGGTTCTTAAGTACCAATGACCTTCCAGGGGTACTACACCCCACAGCCTTCTTAAAGCAAAGGGTTGCTAGGCCCAAGGATCCCTGGGGCCTTGTCCTAGGGGGCTGTCTAGCCACTTGAGACAGTCTTTTTTCCCTACTGTGTGATGGTCCAGTATGTGCTCTGCTTCACATAAGATCTTACTAAGCAGTCTTTCCAACTTTGTCTCATGGTCTCATAGCTCTCGATGGGACTTAGGTAGAAGTCCAAAGCTTGTGTGACTAAAGGATACTGAAATCAGTTGCTCTTCCCCAGCATCTAAGACTGTCTGGATTAACTGGGGCTCTGTCTCCTGTCCCAAAGCACAGACTCCTTCCCAGGAGACGAGGGCTTCTCTCACAGCTGTCAGACATGCTCAGACATGTCAGAACCCAGCTCAAGTTCAGCCTCGGCTCTGGATTTACCCTAATAATAACCGGCAAGTGTTCAGATGTTTTGACAAAAAGATTTTAATGAACTGTTCTACAATGAAGGCCAAACAGGAGGCACTGAATACAGACTGTGACAGGGAAGGATTTTAGTCTCTCTTCCCTCTGTCCATCCTTTTTAGCTTCCTTATTTTCTTTCTTTCTTTGTTTCTTATTTTTAGTAGTTCTAGAGATTGAAGTGAACCTCAGGCCTCATGCCTGCTAGGTACTGAGCTACATTCCGAGGGCATCTTCTTCCTTGCCCCTCTTTGCTTTTGACACTGGGTCTCACTGAGTTGCCCAGGTTGACTTTGAACTCACTGTGTAGCCCAGACATCCATGAACTTATGCTCCTCCAGAATCAGCCTCCTAAGTAGCTGGGATTATAGACTTGTGCCACTACACCAGCCAAAGCATTTCTTATATGAGTGTGATCATAAGGCAAATTATTAGTGTCTCCTCGGGTCTAGCATTTTCTTGCTATCAGAGCGAGTTCAGCCCTTGGGGCTCCTGGCGTGAACTGAGGTATTCCAGTTTTAAAATAGAATATTCCTGGTCCTTTCCTTAATTCAAGCCACATGAGTGTTCCATGGAGGGTTTTTTCCACACTTTTTTTTCTTACGTCTTAAACGTTTACACCTGCAGGCAACAAAACTAACGAACAAGCAGTAAACAGATATGAATGAGGAAGGCTGGAAATTACGCTGGCTTGATGCTCTTTTTTAAAGAACATGTGTTTGAGGTTTTATGTGGCTTACCCACAATGCAGACATCTCTTCTGTTCATAGGAGGGAGAGAAACAGACCACTGTTCTCAGGTGTTCCTGTGTTGGAAAGCGTGGTGGCTTTTATTTCTCTGTCACCCGAAAGCCCACTTGAATGCTATATTGTATGCTGGGGTGGAGGACTGGCTTTCTTCCCCTTACCTCCTAACTCTGCTGCTTGCAGCATGGCCTGGACTGACTTTCCACCTCTGCCAGACTAAAGATAACTTCTCCATCTGGGGTATTACCCACGGGCTAAATTTATTCTCAAGGGTGAGTTGGGGCTACCCTGACCTGTGACTCTGGGCAAGCACTAGGGACACTCTAAGTCAATTCGAGAGGTCCAACGAACGGAAGGAGAAGAGGGGATGAAAGATCCAGAGAGGGATTATTGAGAAGCTGCCAAAAAGACTTCAGAGGAAGAGGGACACACCCGTGACACCCTGTGATTTGAGAATAAGCCTTGTGAGCCTGCAGGATTTGACTGCTCCTGGCAAAGAGTTTCTTAGCTGTCAGCTACAGTGTTAGTGTAATACAACCCCAGAAGGAAAAGCCCAGTGTTAATCAGGGCTCAAGAAGTCAGTGGACTTGATGTACAGAATGGGGTATTTAATTTTATGATGTGGCTATGGGTTACATGGGAGACTAATAAAAGAACTCCATAAACTGCGGCTTGCAGCAATGGGGTTCTAGCTTCTGCCAGAGGGGCAGCTCGGCTCAGGAGTGGTTTCAACCCGGAGCTGCTCTCTGGTTGGTATGTACACGTGTGGTCACTCCGGTTCTGAAACTATAGCAACCCTTCTGTGACCATCATTAAGGAACTAATGCTCTCAGCTGCCCTTAGGGCAGCCCTGCTGCCCCAAGCTGTCCAGCCCTTACCCTAGACATGCTGCCTTCAGACTCAGCCCTATACGCTATGTCTCTAATGCTACCTCCCTCTTGAGAGGCTAACACCTCTGCAGAATTTTTGTCTGCCCTTTAAATATCGCCGGTCCTGCGAAAGCATCTCTTTCCTGGGGCTAGACCTTCCAGATGCCTGTGGGACACAGGTCCACAAGACTCTCCTGTACTAATTCCACAGCACCTATGGGCTTTCCTGCGGAGTCCTGCAAGGGCACACCCAATCTTTCCCTTGACTCATACTTGGCAGTCTCGAAGGGGAACTTTAACAGGCCCGGAGATGACCTCAGGGCAGAGGGACACTTTTGGAAGAATCAGACAACTTTGCATCATATTGCCTAACTGATGCCATACAGTTGGAATCAGAAGGATACTTGCAAAACTTTGAGCTCTCTCTACAGCCAATACAATCCTTTCTATGTCACTGTCTCAGGAGACTGACAACTCCTTCTGGGCCACACCCATTGCCACAGAGCATAGCTCCTTAAAACGAAATCTGTATGAACCAGCAGGGCCCCAAGATCTCCTAAAGCCCTTCTGTTGAATGGAAATCTTCCCGTACACCTAGAACTTCAGTCTCCAGTCTAGATAGAATTATTGCAAATCCCAGGACGGCCGTAACACAGCAGAGCAGTGTTATATAGCGCTGTGTTATCAAGTGAGCAGAGAATGATTTTAGCCAACCAGAGTTTGTTGAGCAGCTCCTAAGTGCCTGGTGCTGGGATCAGAACAGTCAGGAAGTGATTCTGTCCTGAGAGATCATACAGGACTCTTGTGCTCTTCTCGGATGTTGAGAGGAAACCTAGGGCCTTGGGTGATCCTTGTCTCTGAACTTCGTTCCTGGCTCAGCGTCATCCTAGGCGGGGTCCTTCCTGGGTGACTCTGGTCTTTTGCCTCCACAGGTTATCAATAGCCTGGAGAGTCCACTGAGAAGATGGGAGCTCATTTTATAGACTCTGGAATGGACATGCCAAGCTTTGATTAACCATCTCCTCCATTCTGGAAACGTCTATGAGAGTCCAACAGTGTCTATTTCTCATGTGTTTTGCTGAGTGAGCAACTGGGTAGAATGATTAGTTTGACTTTCATCAATAAGAATTACTAAATGATGTAGACAAGAAAAAGACATGTTATTTATAAACCTAGCATCTATTGATAGCAATGTGGTATTTACCCATGCAGACATTTTTGTTTTGTTTTTATCTAATGTGCCTGTAGATGTGGGAGACTTACACACATAACACATCCGTATACACTGCCTTTCAACCGGTTTATTCCCTTATAAACACAATTTTAATTTGAATTGCATTTTTATTTGTTTATTTATTTGTGTGTGTGCATGTACAACTATATCACAACATGTATGTGGAGATCAGACGACAAATTGGTTCTTTCCTTCTACCTTGTGGGCCCTGAGGTTTTAAATAGGATCGTCAGGCTTAGAGGCATACAGCTTCATCCACTTGGCCGTCTTACTGGCCCATAAACACAATTTTAAAGGAAATCCAATGAGCCCGGGATATTTCTTTAACACGTACAGCTTTGAAGATTTTTTTCCCCCAAAGAAATCAGGAAAACACAAGTTAAATCATTTCAGTAGTAAATAAGGAATCAGCCAGGGCCAACAGATCAAGTGTGTCTGTTCTATTAAAAGATATTTGGGGGGTTGGGGGGAGGTGTCTAGGTAGACTCCTCACCTGATAGTTAATTTTCCTGGTGGGACCGATGGAGGTAGACCCTGGAGAAGTGAGGGTATGTTAGACCTTTTGTTGCTGTGACAAAATACCTCAGAAAAACTGAAGTGGGGAGATTAATATTAGCTCAGAGCTACAGAGGTTTCGGTCCATAGTTCTGGGTCTCTTGGGTCCGGGCCTGTGATGAGAAAGGGCATCACGGTAACACTCAGCCAAACCTACTCACTTTGTAGACAGGAAGCAGACAGAAAGAATGGGATCAAGGATGAGGCCTAACTGTCAAAGGCAGAGTCACTTCCTCCAGCTAGGTCCCAGTTCCCAAAACAGTGGCGCCAGCTGGGGACCAAGCATTCAATACACAAGCCCAGGGGAGGGAAGCTGTTTGTATTTACACCACTATGGAAGGCTATCCCAGGTTTGATGGAGATTGGACAGAGATAGCTGGGCTGGGGGTTTCTTCTCTGGGTACCAGAGGCTGGAAGGCTTACGGATGATGCTCACTGTGGTGAGACCTATGGGCCTTTCACATTCATGGCCCCAGAGGAAAGGTCAGTCAGCATTTGTGCTGGACTACCCTCACCAACTCAGCTGAGAAGAAACTGGACATGAAGAGACAGTGGAGCTCCCCATCCTGAAGCCTCCATGAGAACTGGACAGGCCCTGTGTGCTACTGCTGAACTGAAGGCCCGTGAAGCAATTCTTTCTGTGGTGGTTTAAAAAGAGAACAGCCTCCGGGGCTCATCTGTTTGAATACTTCGTCACCACCAGTTGGTAGAACTTGTCTGGGAAAGATTAAGGTGACACCTTGATCTTTGGAGGGGGTGTGTCACTGTTGATGAGCTTTGAGTTTTAAAAGACTCTTATTATCCCTAGTGTGCTCCCTGGCTTGTTTGTGGATCAAGATGTAAACTTTCAGAAGTTCTGGTCACCATGTCTTCACTCAGCCATCATGGACTCTAACCCTCTGAAATCATAAGCCTGGTGCTTTGGTAAGTTGTCTTTGTCATGGGCTGGAGAGTTTGCTCAGTGTTTAAGGGCTAAAGAGTGGTTGTGAAAGACACGGGTTTGATTCCCAGCACCCACATGGAGGCTCTCAGCCTCTGCAGGCACCAAGCATGCATGTGGTTCATAGACACACGTGCAGGAAAAATACTCTTAAATAATAAAAGTAAACCTGAATTTTTAAAGTTGTTTTGGTCATGGTGTTTTATCACTGGAAAAGAAAAGTGACTAAGACACATTCCTATACTGGCAGGTTCCCCCCTACACCCTACCCTTGGCTTATGGAACTTCCGGGGCTGAGCCATAGAGGGCAGTAATGTCTCCATAGTGATGTAACATATGATGCAGTGAGGGGGTACCTGGTGGGCCCATGTCAAGGGCTCTCCCTGAGAAATCATGCCATGCAACAGGTCTGGTATAAGGGGGTGGGGGTATTTGGGGGAAGGGAAGGGAGTGAGGGCTTATGAGAAAGGGTAGAGGCAAATGAGTAGACATATAGACAGACAGACAGACAGACAGACAGACATGATCAGAGCCATGCAGGAGGATGAGAAGAGGATGGTCACAGAGAAGGACAGAAGGACAGAAATGGGAAGAGAGAGACTAGCCAGGAACATGTTAGGACACAGAGTGAGCTGGAGTGCGGGGCAGTCCTTTTATACGCAGCCCATCCAGCGCACCGGCTGCAGCAGGAGATGTTCATGCCCTTGCTAAGTCCCTGGGAGGAGCCTAGTGGAATTGCCTGGAAGCTAACACATGGAACTCACGAGGCCAGGAGAGAAGAAGAGAAAGCCACCAAGAAAACAATGCTACCAGAACATTCAAAAAAAAAAATCAAAAAATGTAAAAGGCATCCTAGAACTCAGGTGCCTCCTAAACTAAAATAATCTGTTGGGTGAGTTAAAAAAGATGTGGCTTTGAAAGCCAAGCGTAAAAGTAGCCCAGTCATAGAAACCAAATCAAGAGATCAAAGCCCAGGAAACCCGATCGGGGGACCTAAGATGTCCATATGGAGTTGCAGAAGAGAGAGAAATATGAACAGGTGAGGAGAGAATAAACAAAGATGGAGAAAATCTCTCTCTTAGAGACTTGGGCCAGATGTTTGTTACTGTGTTTACTGTTTACTTGTTGAGACAGACTCCCTCTATAGTCCAAGCTGACCTTGAACTCAACATGTAGCCCAGGCTGATCCCCAGCCTTCCTCCTCCTGTCCTAGTTCCCTGGATACTGGCATCACCATGCCAGATGAGACTTGAAAGCCTCAATGAAAGCCATGTCCTCAAACTTGTTCAGGACATTGTTGAACATTAGGTATGCGAAGAAGCTCATGCATCCTTCCATATGAAGGAAAGAGAGTCACATGGGGAAAGGAGAGAGATAGTGCCACAGTGTCTCCCCTCTCTCTCTTTCAACAGCGGAAGCCGGAGGGAATGGTGGTTGTAATACAAATACTAGAGCCAGCCAAAATTCCCTTTACTATGCAGGATAGAAGTGTGTGTGTGTGTGTGTGTGTGTGTGTGTGTGTGTGTGTGTGTGGAGAGAGAGAGAGAGAGAGAGAGAGAGAGAGAGAGAGAGAGAGAGAGAGAGAGAGAAAGTTATCTCACATGGAATTGGTCATACTGTCCCATCCCCCCGCCCCCCAAGTGACTAGTTGATAAGGATATTGCCCCAGAGAAGGAAGCAGGCCTGGGCTGTGACTGTTTCTTTCAGCCTAAGGCAGTTCCTGGAGAGAGATTTGTAAGGGCTGTCAGCACACACGGCAGCTGGAGGGGGTGGGGCATGGCTCTCATCACCCTTCCCAGGGTAGACATGGTCACATGCACTGTGTATGCAGATGCTGCTATGTGCTGGGAAATGTTCCACTGTGAGCTCTGGGTGGAGGTAGGAGGAGAGGAGAGAGCTCTCTTTTGTAGATTTTTACTTATTTTCATGGTATAAATAGTTCCTTTATGACTGATGTCCAGGTACCAGTGTGATGTTGCTGACCGGGGCAGTGTATCTCCAAGCAGACGAAGCATGTCACTGTGCCCGTGGTAGCTTCAAGGAGCTGTGCAGATGAGCAGACTCACACATCTCCATCAGCAAAGAACCTTCTGGATTTCTTCTCCTTTTGCTCCATTCTTTGTCCCAGCCCCCTTCCATCCAGTCTCAGGTTCTTTCCCCTGCTCCAGGAAGAGTCCCAGAAACTTGTCTGTCAGAACCTGAACCTGTTTCTTGGTGTGGAGACCAATGAATGGCCAACTTTATGCAAGACACTAGCAGGAAACAGTCTTTGCTTGAGGGTTCTGTAGTCCTTGCCGCAAAGACAGACCTCCCCCCAGGTTATGGTCCTTTGACTCCTGTGTGTGATTCTCTTGTATCCTAGTGACCAGATAAGGGCTAATTATAGTTTTTTCAAAGGCCCCAAGGGACGGAATTGACGGACTCCAGACTGTTGAATCAGCAGGCTCAGAGGAGGGCTATAGGCCTGAGGGTGGTTATGAATGAACCCTGTTCCACTAAAGCTAAGGTGGTTTTGTTTGTTTTGTTTTGCTAAGTATGAAAAGGAGAAACATAGACTAAAAACCCGAAAGCAAAACTCAAGCCCTATTCCCTACTAGCAAACCCTTTTCCCTACCACAGTCCTATTAACTTAACCCCGTGACCAATGAGTGTCAGATGTTGAAGCCATCACCCACTCACAGCCAGCAGCATGTAGGCACACTTCCAGGAAGGAGGCAAGCCTCCATCGTAGTATCTCTGAGTACACCATCAGCATGGACTGAGTACAGTAAGCCAGAACCCTGACATGGCTAAGAAAAGGACCATTCTTTGCTTTCCCAGCTAGCATAGCATTGGAACACAGATTGTCTTGAAGCCCAGGAATTGCCAGGAGGTGGTGGCACACGCCTTTAATCCCAGCACTTGGGAGGTAGAGGCAGGCAGATTTCTGAGTTTGAGACCAGCCTGGCCTACTGAGTGAGTTCCAGGACAGCCAGAGCTACACAAAGAAACCTGGTCTCGAAAACAAACAAACAAACAAAACAAAACAAAACAAAACAAAACAAAACAAAACAAAACAAAAGAAACCCAGGAATTGTCTACTCACACATATGGGGCACATGAGAACCTGTCATGGAAATCTCTGTGTGCTCGTCAGCTTACTGATATGGATAATGAAACAATAGCTTCCAAATATATTTGGGGCAAGTCTCTTTTCTCCTGGTTTCAAGTTTCACGTCTTTAAATGAGTATTTTAGATTTCTCAGGCAGTGTTTGAATTTTTTTGAATGTGTCCTTGTCTAGAGTCCTGAATTTCAGTTGAAAAACAAAAAGCCCCCAGTTTTAGACCTCTTAACTGCCTGTTTTGTAGCTAGTTGGCTGTGAGTGTTTTTGACATTCTCTTACGCCGTTCCTGGTGCTTACTAGTGATTGAAACCTGAACCCAGGGACTTATGTGTGATAAGCATGTGTTCTTCTCTGAGCTATAACACAACATAAGACATCATGAAAGCCGTTCTGTATGGATGTGCTTCTGTGTGTGTCTATATTGATGCTGAAGTTGGGAGAGTTTTCTAGGAGAAAGTTCTTGGTTTACTGAATTTGATAGAAACCTTAAAGAGTCAGAGTGTTAGACACGCCCCTTCCCACACTAATTATTACTGAATACCACATTTCTCCTTGTGGCATCTTTTAAAGCAATATATTATTGACTTGCCCTTGGTGACCAGAAAACTCAGAGAAGAATTCATCGTCCAGCTATTCCCACTCTGGTTTCATGGCAATTACATTTTGGGGTAACTCTTAATGTTTTCTGATTCACAATTTTATGGCCATTTAAAAAAGATTTTTTAATATAATTTTTAAGTGTGTGTGTGTGTGTATATACATGTGCATGTGTGTTTACTTCTGTGGGAGTTATCTCTTTCCTGGCTGAGGTAACCACCTCTACCATAAGTGGTCAAGATACCTAACAGTGACACTCCATGTGTCTCCCCTGTCACAGGAGACCATCTCTTTTGTAACATGGTCACCTTCTTCCTCTCTTTAACTTTTGCCAACATTGAGATTTTCTAAGCACACACCTATTTGTATAACCTACATCTCCCCAGACCCTCACCAATTTCCCAAACATCATTTAGATGTGTCCCCATATTGACACATCGCCACTGCATAGTCAGTCTACCATTAGAGATGAGGTTGCTGTTCATTGCTGTTCTAAAAACTACTGTGATGAGACCTTTTATATACATGTCTACGCATCTGTTATTTCCCTTTGATGTATCCACAGAATTGACATTAGTATCAGAAGGGTGTGGAGATGCTTATACGTATAGGTTTGTGTTACCATATCGCCTTCAGAAAAGTTTATCCTTCTGAGTTCAAGGCCAGCCTGGTCTACAACAAAAATCCTTATTCTTTCAGGTCCCATCAGTCGAGAAGAATGCCTGATTAATGATCTCCACACTGCCTCATCTTCCTTTTGTAATCAATAGTTACAAAGGTGATTGGGGTGCATATGTTTTGTTTTTACCTATGTTCTTGATCATTAATAAATAATTGTGCTTACATTTTACTGACTTATATTTTTATCTGAATTATATGTTCACATTTTTTTTTTCATGTAGAAAATGGCAGGGCTGATATTTTTCTCATTAACATGCTACAGATAAGCCAGCCAAAGGCTTAAAAATCATTTTACAACAAACTTGATTTGTTTTTATTTTACGTACATTGGTGATTTGACTGCATGTCTGTGTGTGGGTGTGCAGGAAGTTATGGACAGTTGTGAGCTGCCATGTGGGTGCTGGGAACTGAACCTTGGACTTTCTAGAAGAGTAGCCAGTGTTCTTAACTGCTGACTCATCTGTCTAGTCCCCTGATTTTATATGTATATATTCCTGCCACGGCGCCTGCTGCTTGTCGCCATGCCTCCAGTCCACCACCACGAACTTTTATCCCTCTGGAACCACAAACCAGAGTAAACACTCTCTTCCTTAAGTTGCCTTTGGTTGTGGTGTTTTATCACAGCAATAGAAAAGTGACCAGTACGGTGGTGGCCCATGAAACAGAACATAGGCCAGAATCAAAGCACGGGGTCTAACCTTCCAAGGCTAACTTCCATCGGCCCGGTTCCAACTCTTAACAACTCCGCAGCCCTTAAAAAGAAGTTTAAAGGTTGGGGAACCAAGCATTCAAACATAAGCCTGTGGGGGATGTTTCAGATCCAAACCAGAACAGGTAGTGTGCTCTATTGCACAGTTGCTTCCCGTTAAATATGCCCTTTGGCCTGAATGGACTTACAGCTGTAGCAAGCAAAACCATGCTGCTGGCAAGAAACACAAGACTTATTTTCTTCTGGTCTATTAGTGAGAGAATCTGCAGCACAGCGCAGGTCAGCCACTGCCAGCCCTAGAATTTTTCTCCTGCTTTCCTCCCTGTCTGCTGTTCTAAGATGTCGAGAATCACTTAGCTCATTAGACTTGCTATAGTTTCCCCAGAAGTCTCTATTTTATGCATCTTCTTTGGCGAACACAGATTTCTGAGGGCACTCAAAGAACAAAAAAGCACTTTGAAATCTGTTCCTGAGATAGCCCAGGAGCAACCCGCAACGCCATTCAGCCGTTTATGACAGCGGATGCCAACAACTCCTCTAGGATGGGCATCTGTTCATCCTGATCTTTACGAAGTTTGTTTTACTTGTCTGTTAAGCAGCTTGTTTAACATGAGTAGATAGCAGTGTCACACCAAAACTCAGGCCGGGATCCACTGGTGCCTATGCGCATGCTCCAGTCAATGCCGCTGGGCTAACCCCTGCTGTAATCCTGGGATTAGGATACTGCAGGTGTAGCCCTTAATCATGGACATTCAGAAAGCCTGCCCAAAAATCCACGACAGGTGTTCAGGGGACAGGGCACACGTGGGACATTTGTCAGAACATTGGATCGTGGGGCTATGAGAGTCAGCAAACTGAGAAACGAGAGAAAAATCTTTAATGGAGGCCAGCACATCCCTCCCCTGGGTAAAATTGCTGTGAGGGAGATTGTACCATCGTCAGAGAAAACTAAAGAAGACTAATAGTGATAGTAACAAGGTGGTTTATATCCCTCCTCCAAGAGTAAATTTACAAACTCCCTATGTTGTCTGTATCAGAAATTGCAAAAGGCTAGGCTGCATATGGTGATGCACACCTTTAATCCTGGCACTTGGGCAGAGGCAAAATCTCTGAGTTTGAAGCCAGCCTGTCTACATTGAGAGTTCCAGGCTGTGAGTCACTATCCTCTGCAGCTGTGCTGTTATGCCCATTCCCCCATCTCCATGCATTTCCCTGAGAAGACTGCTCAAGGAGAAATCCAAGCTTGGGTGGTAGGCTGCCAAGTGTATCTCCTTGTTCCTGTTTTTATTCCTGTTCTTGTTTGTGTTCCTGTTTTATGGGGAGTATAAAAGGGAGCTACGCAGTTGAAAATATAGCATTTGGTCTTTACCAGATGACTCCTTGTCTTTCTTTCTCTTGCCCTCAGCCCTCCGCCGATCCATGGAACTCAGTCAGATATGCTGGCGTAGCTGACACCAGGGCAGCAAGAACTATGTAGTGAGACCTTGTCTCAAAAAAAAAAAAAGAAAAGAAAAGAAAAAAGAAAAAAAAGAGAAAAGAAAAAAGGCTTGCCCCTCCCCACCAAAGCCTGTGTGACTAAGGAAGAGTGGGATGGGGAGGGAGGGTATGATGCTTAGTTTTGACAACTTGATGCAATCTAAACTTACCTGGTGTGCTAGTTATTTCTCTGTTGTTGTGATAAAGTACTGTGACTAAAGCAATTTGTAGAAGGAAAGAATGTATTTGGGCTCATGGTTCCAGAGAGAGAGGGGGGGGTGGGAGGGCGGGAGGGAGGGAGGGAGGGAGGGAGGGAGGGAAGGGAGGGACAGAGTTTGGAATGGAGGTGGGGCAGGAGAGGAAGGAAACATGGCAGCAGGCAGCTAGATGAAAAACAGAGATCGCATCTTTAACCACAAACATGATGCTGAGAGAGCAAACTGGAAGTACAGCTAGGGTATCAACTCTCAAGGCCCAAACCCAGTGACTACAGCTCCAAACAGCACCATCAGTTGGGGACCAAGAGTTCAAATACCTGTGCTTATGGGAGCATTCTTTTTTTTTAATTTTATTTATTTATTTATTTACTTATTTATTTTATGGGAGCATTCTTTTGTTTTAAATTTTTTTTATTTATTTATTTATTTATTTATTTTAAGGGAGCATTCTTATTCAAACCACTACTAAGAGAGTCTCAGTGAGGAGTTGTGTGGATCAAGTTGACCTGTGGATATATCTGTGGGGGCTTACCTTGATTATATTGATTGAGATGAGAAGACCTGCCCATGGTGGGCGGTACCATTCCCTAGATCTGCGTCCAGGATTGTATAAGAATTGAGAAAGTGAGGATGCATGAAGTTGTTGCTCATATTCTTTCTATGTTCTTGACTGTGGGTGTGGCTAGCTGCTTTCTGAGCTGCCTTGACTTCCCCACAATGACGGATTAGGACTTGGAATCCTGAGCTAAAATAAATCCTTTCTTCCTTAAGTTGCTCCTATCAGATTAATTTGTCACAGTAACTAGCAACAAACCGAGGATGGTAGGGTTGTATGAGGTTCCTCTAAGGCACAGCAATGAAGACCAGGCCTGAGCATTAGGTATGATTAGAAGGAACATGACTCCTGGTATTTACATGTCAGCCCCACTCACAAGGTGCATGGTAAATTGTTCCTGGTTATTTTCCCATGTGACAAGAACTAGAGTTTGTAAGAATTGGGTGATATGACAGGCTGCTTTCTGGGATAAAGGAACAGGTTTTCTAAGGCAGTCACTGCTGCACATTTTAGATCACAATGGAGGGTACACTTTCTATCATAAGCCAAAGGCAATGATAGATATGTAAGACTTCTACAAAATACGCACAACATACTCAGATATATTCCCTTCTCTTTTGGATAAACAAAATTGTGGTACCTCTTGCTAAATTGATTTCTCAATCTATTATTGGGTCATGACCTACTGAGTAAAAACTCTCGATTCTGACTTGCATTATATATCAATAAAAAGGCATACCCATGGGTGTCATCACCTGCGCCCTTTGAAGCTATAGTAGCATGGAACTTATATACAGAAAATTTTCCAAGAAAAAGTGATTTTTTTAAAGTGAAAGTTTTATACACAATTAAAAACAACCAACTAGCCAACCAACCAACCAACCAACCAACAAAGCTAAACCGAACAATCAAACAAAAACCAACCAACCAATCAAACAAACAGGCAAAAACAAAAAACAAAAACAAAGCGTGGAGTGGAGAGGTGACTTGACAGGTAACACAGTGCTTGTGGAGGACTCAAGTTTGATGCCCAGCTCCCATACCAGGTAGCTTGTAACCATCTAGAACTCCAGCTCCAGTAGAGTCAGGGCCCTCTTCTGGCCTTTGGAGGCACTGCACTCACATGTACAAACCTAGACACACACACACACACACATACATAATTAAAAATAAAATACGTTTTAATTCTGGTTAACTTCCATCATTTTAACCCACAGAAAGATGCCAGCACATTTGAAATTGTCCAGAATGTGGTTCCATAAAGCCAGATCTGCTCCATCCTTATGTGGGGTACCTGCGGAAGTTTCTAGAAGATCACTTTTTGAGCTCAGTCTTGCCTTTGCTTAAGATAGAGCATCAATCCCTCGCCAGCTTCCCAGGACCCCTTGGCTGTGCACACAAAGAGAACCCAGCCTTTCTTGTTTGGCCTTTGCTTCTTCCTATGTGATTGAATTTACAGAGGAACTGTTTGCCTTTGGCTGCACATCCTGAATCATAATCAGGATGCTACTGGCACAAAACCTGCTCCCACCCTTGCCTGAAATAACTGAATAGGGAAGTAGAATTCCTCCCCTTTCCAATCTTAAAGAAAGAGACTCGTAATTTATTGTGTTCTGGCAATACATCAAAAGTCAATCCATTCACTTACAGTAAAAGCAGGGAGGGAAGGACCATGAATATGCAGGGAGGTAAAAGCACCTCATTAAAAGGAACAAATTGTTCACTTGACACAAGAATAGTGAGGTTTAGATGTTTGTCAACCAGAGTCCAGCAGCCTGCGGGGATGCCTTCCTTTCTGTGGGGTATGGAGAAGGTGCAAAGCCACAGGCTCAGCTTTTTCAGTTCTTCAATTTGATGAATGAACTTTAGCTTCTTGGTGTAACTCAGGTATTCTATGGTATTCTAGTTTTCCATGGCTGATACAAAGTCATCTATCTATCTATCTATCTATCTATCTATCTGTCATCTATCCATTTCTCTGTCATTTTTATCATCTATCTGCCTGTCTATCATATGTCTATCATTTCTTTTCATCTATCAGCTATCTATATCTATCATCCATCTATCTGTCATCTATCATTTATCTATCATCTATCTGTCTATCATATGTCTATATCATCTATCATTTATCTATCTCTATCTATATGATAGATCTACTTAGCTATATCTATTTAGCTATCTATCATCCATCTCTGTCATTTATCA